ACTATATATTATAATGTAACACTACAACTTTCACATACAGTAGCCATATTCTTGCAAACATATTTTTATCTCAAGCTCAGGTTGGATCTGTGCTTTAAAACAAACAGGATGTCTGCTGTATAACAAATATGTCTTATGGGCATTAAATCTATCACTGTACAGAAGAAAACCTGCCATTATGACAGGCCATTTATACTACTCACTGTCTGGGGCATTCTGTATACAAGCCTGACATCAGACACAATCTCTATAAAGAGGGGGTGGATCCTGTTACTAAGCTGATATTTTCTTCAAGGTTAAAGAACTCTACTGCTTTTTATATTCAGTCAATTTAAAGGAGTGTGCATTCAGCAGTCATTGCCCTGTAAATATCTGGTTCACCAGACTATATAAATTACATAATAAATCTTTTAGGCCAATCTGATTTAATTTTATGGAAGGCATCCATGCGGGCATTTATTTTCAAATGTTCTTTCCCTCCTTGTAACTCTGGAACTGACTGCTGTCCCGATGCCCACTCAAAATACTGCATAAGCCAGGGCTCCGTATCTGGAAAGGTTCGCTATGTTGCGCACGTGTGCAAGTGTCTCGATTCCATAACCGATTCTATTTCGAGATACGGGGCCATGGAATCGAGACACTTGCGCACGTGCGTGACATAGCGAACCTTTCGAGATACGGAGCCCTGGGTTTTCCTAAATCTTGTTTATCTTCCACAAAACCTGCTGATTTTGTCATAAAACAAACCTTTTGCACATGTGTATTGCTGCAAAAAGGAGAGAGAGAGAGAGAGAGGGGGGTATCGGGGGGGGGAGAGAGAGATGTATGTGGTAACCTTAATTAAAGTGGATCTACAGCATTCTCATTTGTTTAAATAATACAGAAATGAAGCAGATGAGAGCTGATTTGTTAATATTTTCTTGTTTGATTCACTGAGATAAAGCAGATGGCTGTTGACTCTTTAGTCTTCTCAGCACAAATAAAGATGTTTGTTTGATGCACTGTGTTCTGTTTGTTTCCATCTGAATATTCCTTTACTTTAGCTGTTTTTTTCCCCCTCTTGCATTAGTTTTGGAGTCTCCAGAGGAGGTCTTCCATAAAATTAAATCAGTGTGGCCTTAGTACATAAAACGTGTCAGACTTTGTTTGCTGGTAGGTATCAAAACTGGATAATAATAGGCTGATCTGATCTCATATAAAGACATGGCAATTCAGTGAGTTCAGTTTTTTTATATACCCAGTAGACATCCCATTATTTAGGACAAAAAATTCATACAAAGCATTTCAGGGAATTATTCAAACAATTTACTGTTAGTTTTGCAGTTCTACACCTGGTGCCATGTTCCTGAATAATCTAAAATATTATTGCTTTTTACTTCTACTTTTGCCATTTTCACATTGCCTATATGTAACTTAGAGAATCCTGGTCATGAACCAAAATATCCTTTCCATAATGAAACGCTGAAGGATTTCTGTCTCTGAATTAAGAAAGCCATGCTATGGAACAATCACAAGCTGTAAAACTGAACTATGATATTTCTAACTGAATGTGAATAATGACTTAAAAAAGCTTAATTTTTATTTTGCCCTTTGTAGGACTGAATACTTGGTCCTAACCAGCACATGGTGACTTGCACCCCATTTCCATAGATTTTTAGATTGATCTATCCCTGTGGGGAGTCTCACTAGATTACTGTCAGCTTGGCTGGCTTAAGCGTTTGTCCCGCCTACTAAAAGCTGTAAGGGGGTAATTAACTATGGTGCCCGCTCGGCTGATTGCAATTTAGCGTGAACCCCCAGGGAGTTAGGTTGATCTAAATCTTAATCTTTAGATCGATCTAAATCTCTGGGAAAGCACCCTTGAACTCTGTCATACATGTAATTTACTAAATAAGACAAATGTATACCTAGAATGACATCAATAAAATCTCATATACTAAATGATATACTGAGAGCTATATATGTACACAGAATCAAACACTGATGTCTTCTGCTCAATAACAATTACAATTGTGAGAAAATGGTACAAAAATTTTGATTTCATACTGTATCATACAAAATGGATAGAGCCTTTGCAAGGATATATCTCTAGAGTAATTATAATATATGTAAAAATCCAGCACTTTTGGGGCTTTTAATACTATACTAGTAACCCTATGTCTTTAATAATCACACCACGCTTTTATTTCACCCTGAACCAATCACTCAGAATTGACATGTTTATACACAACTTGATTATACTTACAGTACTGGGGCCTAAAAATAAATACTTGTAAATGACAATTCCTCCATCATTTTGGTCATCTCAGGAGTTAACGAGAAAGGGGGCATTTGAACTCCACTTAATTTTTTACCAAACAAACCCATCTAGTAAATTTCAAGTAAAACAAAACGTCCTTTTACAGTTATAGGGGAACGAATGTGTCAGGTGCCAAATGCATCAGCAACAGAATAGATGGACACAAATAATCAGAATACACAATGTCTCTCTGTGACCACAAGCAAAGGTAAGATGATAGTCCTGCAATACACAGAAAGTGTTAATATGTTTCAAACATACGGCAGTCAGACATTTCATTCCCCACGTCTCTTCACCCAGGTAGATCATTGAGAATTAACAAAGAGCATGTTAAACTATAGCCACCTATCCATAAGGAGCTCAAATATCAGGCAGTTCAAGTGGGCCTGAAGCAGATGTATCTCTGGCATTATTAAGACAGGATTAGGCATCAAGTTTTTACTTCCCTTTCTTTTTTTGATGCAGGTTATACTTGAAGACAACAGCATACATAGGGGCTCAAACAGAGCACCCACAGTTTTATAATGAACGCATTTTAACAACCACCCATATCTCATTTCCAATGAAAAAACTGACACCAGTGGAAGAGGAGAGTCAGCATCTTAGGGTGCTTTCCCAGAGATTTAGATCGACCTAACTCCCTGGGGGTTCACGCTAAATTGCAGTCAGCCGAGCGGGCACCATAGTTAATTACCCCCTTACAGCTTTTAGTAGGCGGGACAGACGCTTAAGCCGGCCAAGCTGACAGTAATCTAGTGAGACTCCCCACAGGGATAGATCGATCTAAAAATCTATGGAAATGGGGTGTTAAACATGGACACAAGATCAAGTCGAGTGAACCAACCTGTTACACGGACTTAAAGTAAGAACTGCTTTTGAGGACCATATATTGCTGTGGAAAGGAAGGTCCCTAAAATCAGTCCTATCTACTAGTAGCAGGAAAGAGGGAAATTTTACAGTTTTTTACATACAGTCACAAAGACATCCAGTGCATTCCTCAAGTTTGAAACTGGTCACAGTGTGGCATTTGAAAGCACCTTTGGCTTTCTTAATCTGGCAAGACCATTACCAGGGGTTGAATTTCTACATAGCAATACAATCACATATTCAATTACAACTAAAGCTTCCTACAAATGCTCATGGTATTAAAAACCAATCCAAATTTATCCCAAATCCAAAATGTTTTTTTTCCCTCTTTGGAGAAGAGTATGCCTCCCATTCAATGATTCACATGATCTATCCTAAACCCATTTTAGATTTCTGTTCAATATAAGGTCTTTAGAATAAAAAGCTCCACTTCACAATACTTGCTGAATGAAGGTTGTTTTTCTTTTCACCAAACAGGGGATTAAATTCCAGTCTTAATTATATATATATATACTAGTCCCGTACAGAAAGCAAAATATTTAACTGTTCTCTTTATGAGGGAGAATACCTTATTCTTCAATCCAAAATTGTGACTTACGGTTTTTTTTTACTTTGGGTAATAATTATTATACGACATATTATATTACATTAACAATTTAAAGACAGGCTAAGAGTGTTAGACCATTGTATAGGGATATGTTTGAAGCAAAATAATAATCATATTTGTGTTGCATAAGATTTTTCTCAACAATTATTGTTAGGATATATCTTGGCCAATATGTGAAAATTAATGAAGTTTCCAAGATAATTATTATTATTATTATTATTATTATTTGCCATATAAATGTCTAATCCTTATTTTTTTGCCTTTAATATAAAAATGGGCTAGAATTTTTCTTATCAAATTAATAAAACAGTGATACTATGCAGTATCAATTCTGCTGCAAATAATTTACATGAACTATCACAGAGGAAGATTGTATTTACACCTGGTATGAAAGACATTTATTTCATTTACAAGTAACAGGTAGCATATAAATAAAATTATGTAACTTATACAGAAGCTAAGTTGACAATATTGCACAGGTTTCTTACCAAAACTTTAATTGGCAACTTCTCCCTTTTGGAAATTGGGAAGGGATCAGCCATTCTTTTTTTAACCACTTGAGATGCCATCTTGAAATTTCCAGTGCTTGTATTCAAACACGTAGAGAACAAGAGGCATCTTTTATTTTTATTCCACTGATATGACCACCATATTTAGGGACAAGAGTATATTTTATGAATAATTTCAAACAAATCTTTTAATTACTTTTATAACTAATGTGAAAGTGTTAACCTGACTAACTCACATGCAACATACAATCACACTTATATGACAAGACAGCAAACCTGGCCAATAAACATTTAAGGCACACAATAGACAACTACTCCATTTTAACATAAAGAGACACATTCCATAAACATTTCTTCAGCTTTACTTTTTCAAAAATGATCTCATCATAATGATTTTCAAAAGGAAAATGCTTTTTTATCAAACAAAGCAACTCAGCAAATTTGTGTATGGTTGATCTCATCAAATGATAATCAAACATGGCATAGTCAGAAGCAACCTGGCTTCAAATTAGGGATATCTGACCCGAAAACTGGACTTCTATCTGAGCTAGCTCTTTCGGATGAGAATGTCACTACGCAATTTTCATGCCTCTCAATTTTCATTTACACAACAATCCATGTATGAAGTTTTAAACTGTGCTCTTGTGACAGAAAAAGGTTCCTGCGTGCAATGTACGCTTGATCTCATCTGGGAAATGTATACAGTACGAAGTGCCCAACATGGCTTGCTGTCCAAATTTGGTCCCACGACATGAACAAATTTACCCTTGACATGATGTTGCTTGTACCCAATTCTCCACATGCTTTGGTGGAAAAATGGAATGATTGACAACCCTTGTAATTCAAAAGTCAGCCCCGTATAAACTTTAGAGCATCCCTGGTTTCAGCGTATGCGCAGTGCTTAAAACTATACTTCTGTTTTATCAAGCTTACTACTCATCATTCGCGTTGTGGAAAATGAAATTTTCTTGGGTGTACATCGGCGCAACAAAGTGCCAGGCAACGAGTTGTATTATAGGAAACACCTACTAGCAGGTAGCAAAGCTTTGACACCTAAATTTAAACATGGTAACATTATGCCCCAGTTTTACAATTTCGAGTAGCGCTAGCATCTGCTACTGTTGCTACCACTAATTTTGAGCATGTATTATGTAATTTTATAACAATTTTTATTTTACATTATATAAAGTGTATTTTCTTAAAAGTTATTCCATGTGTGTTCTCTATCTATATGCCGGCCCTATTTCAGAATAGCCAAGCTTCATAATAGTGAACCTGCATCATACATGTAGTGAACCTTTCGAATAGTGCACTTTCAAAAAACTGAACCTTCATCGTATAGAAGCACACCTGCTACATAATAATAATAATAATAATAATAATAATAATAATAATAATAATTTATTGAGCTCAAAGAAATGGTTTACATTTACAGGCTCTCTAATTAATAAAAACATAAGAATAATTTAATTATTAAACTATGCTCATCCACGCATACTATTGCGGTTATAAATCAGACCTAAACAGTGGCAAGATAAAGTACATAAAACAATATAGTGATTAAACTGTCACTTCTTGTTTTCTATAGCTTTTTAAATTGTAAATTAAATAATTGCAGTGAAGTACACTAATTTCAAATTGTGGTTTTCAGTACTATTTGATTGTGTAACCATAATATTATCCTTACCAATATAAATTCTTTATTCTAATGTATCTTTTATATTGTCTATGGATTTAAATTGGAGACAAGAAAGAAATTTACATTCTTTTCACTACCTTTTGGTGTCACATGATATCCCCCAGTATTGACTGTATTCCAGTATTGACAGTATTTATGGTTCTGGTATACTTTAGGAGGAACTTATCTCATTTGGCTTTAAATTGATTTACAGTACAGAGAGTTGCATTTCTTAATTCCATTTAGACAAAGCATTGAACAGACAGAGCCTTGCACTGCAAATGAGACTTCTATTATTTTCAACATTGCTAGCTTTGAATGACTATTAAAGGCATTTTACATTCTAAGCTCTGCCTCTGTATTTGGAAAAGAACTGAGAACTTCAACTATATTTTCAAGTATCTTCCAAACATTTATGATTGAAAATTTTATGTTCCCTGTTACTCTTTAAAGAATAAACTTAAGTTTGGTATCTCAGTAACTCATAACCAGTAACCATGCAGTAACTCATGAAGTCCAGCTAAGACTTAATTTTTCTCACATAAATGACTTATGGAAAATTCCCATAGCCTGTATTTCTCTAATTTTACCTGAGGACCAAAGCCGACATAGCTTGGAACAGATCTGTGAGACAGTTGCACAGCCAATGGCTAGTATATGTAGTTTCCTTCAAGGGAAATTCAATTTTTCTAAGGATAACACCAATGCCATCTTTATCAAAAGGCTTGGTTAAGTATTAGTACATAACATAATGCAAGTTATTAAAAAACAAAATTGTTTTCCAGGTATATGATTTTATGACAGTATAACAATCTAATTTTTATGAAAAGTTATTTAGTCAGTTTCACCTTAATTAAAGCCAGTATCAGGGCAGACAGCTGAGTAATGGCCAGACAGGTGTTAGCATGCAATGTCAACCTTGTATCTTCTCTATTTTTTATTTATGTACAGGACTGTCATGTTAGGTTGTGTTCCACCTTAAAATTAGATAGTTTTCTATACAGTATTACTGGAGGCCCCAGCTCTCAACCAGGAATAAATCCGTCTGTGTGGAAGTACCTACAAAGTCTTGTTTGTTTATTCATGGAGACCATTCCCACAGATATTTGGATCAATCTATCTCCCTGGAGAGTCTCACTAAATTGCTATCAGCGTAACCAGATTTTAAATGTCTGCCACGCCTAGTAAAGCTGCTAGGGGGTAATTATCTTTATCCCCTAGCTGATTCAGTAGGCATGACAGACATTTAAGCCTCTAGAGCTAACAGATGAATCTTAGACCCCATTCCCAGAGATTAGATCGATCCAACTAGATCGACCTAACTCCCTGGGGGTTCATGCTAAATAGCTGTCAGCCGAGCGGGCACGAAAGTTAATTACTCCCTTACAGCTTGTAGTAGGCAGGACGGACATTTAAGCCGGATAATCTGACAGTAATCTAGTGAGACTCCCCACAGGGATAGATCGATCTAAAATCTATGGGAATGCACTCTAAGACTATTCATGGGGCTGTCAACAACAGAACTGGTTGACTTTTCAGCTATGTGATTTTAGGAGGTGAAAGGTAAGCAGAAGATTGGAATGCCCCTGTATTTCAATGGAGGTGTGAGCTGAAAGTCATTTTACAGTTATGTGCACCTCTATTTTTCATGCATTAATGGGCACAAACAGTACATGTATTCTGTACATATCTCAAACTGTAAGTAGAAGTGTTAACTCATTAAACTTTGTGCTACCTTGTTCAGTAAAACCAACTGACATCTTATCTAACATCTACATCTTATCTAACAACTGTTATATGGAATAGATAAATAAACGGAATGAATTAATTAATATAATATAAAAAAATAAACATGGATACTACGTAATCACACAGGGAGCAGAGACTTTCATCAAAGCAACTTAACCCCCATTACTAATTAATTAATTAATTTGCTAATCAATATTAATGGGACAGCTCTAAAATCTTAACAATTTCAAGTTGGCCCATTTCTAACTGATCTTTAAATTTTATCAAAATCCTGAACAGAATACTTTTTAAGTTAAGCTGTTTCAACTTACTAGTTAATGGTACCAAAACAAACAACGAAGGCAAAACATACCTTATAAAAATAAGTCATATATATATATTAATTATTTGGATTACTTGCCTCAGTATCAGATATTTCTCTACCCGTGTTATTAGTAAAGCCTTACACTGAGGCAGACAGAATACCTAGGCTAGCTCTACCTCTTCCAGTTTAATACAACTGCACAACAGTAGAAGACTAGTCTATATAGTACTAGTACATTAGTCGCCTCTACTAAAAATCGTTTTTTCATAGTATCGGCGTGCCGCAAATTACGTACCTCTTTGACACCGAGTATGTACAGCATCCACAATTTGCTCTAGAGTTTAAACATACAACAAATATCTACATTTACCTCAAAGTACGCATGTTTCTGTCACACGGCATTTGCGGTCTTGCTGGTGCAGTTACTGCATCGGTCATTGACACCAAGATATCCTTTCAAAACCGTACGCTGCAAATGTGGGACAAGATGGGTAAAACCTATTTTCAAAAACTTAACAATTGCGAGGTATAAATATAAGCAAGTGTTCACATTTTAGTGTTTGTACCAATGAAATGTTTAATTGTTGCGTATAATACATGTGCAGGTAATTATTTCAGGTTAAAAGTTTGCGACTTCCTCCATAAGGTAATCAGTCTCGGGAAATATCGTGGCATCACGTGCACACCACAATGGCGGAAGCAGAAGAGGAAGCTTTGGAAATATTATTGAGTATGCTTTATTTTGTTGGACTTAAAACTGTTTAGAGAGTTAAAGCGACTGTTGGTCGAATTTCACAATCTTCTCATTTAACATAACGTTAGTTTGTTCAATGTTATTGTCATTTTAAAACATTACTGAAACGCCCACCATGAAGTCCACGAAGCTATTTCATATCCTTTCGTTTACAGCATTGCAATCTCTTCATTATATATACCGCATTTTTTACCATGATATTTGGCCATACGTTAAAAAAGCAAAGCTTATTGCTGCTCGACAAGCAACCTGATCGAAAAGTGGAGTGTGTGTGTTGGGGGGGGGGGGGGGAGGAGGGGAGACTTTAGCACAGCAAGAACATGGAAATTATCATTTCTTACCATCTGTATTGCACATTAGATAAAATCTGCTGTCACAACATTTTAATATTATCATGGTAGGCAAATGCCTGCAAGTGCTGATTTTTAATTTAACTTCACCTAAATTGCCAGTGAGCTGTTAACAATGTTAATATATTCTTTCATGTGATATCACCCTATTTTCTTTTAAATGGCTGTTTCCAGTGTTTACTCACAACCAGAGTCATTTTATGAATTACATTGTGCTGAGTTACTTTGTATTGTGCTATATTGTGCTTTTTAGTATGACTGCATTATTTAGCATTTGTTTCAACATTTGCTCCTTTATTTCCCCCATAACATGGAAAATTATTCCTTTCCTTTACACTAATTTTCACCATGATGAAAACTGTCATGATTTTGATAGCAGTTGTGCCTGAAATAAGTAAAGATGAGATAATTCAGTGTTAAACTAATCATGAGGTTTACCCTAAATAAGTCTGTACTTTATTTCAGTTCACTGTTTACTTATTGTTTTCATTTAAAATGGGTTTATGGATCATGATTCTGTGGCAAGGGAGAAGTGAAGAAATTTCCAGAAAAATTATATTTGGCTGCAAATTATATTTGTTGCAAAATAGTAGCTTCCCAGTGGAAATTTCTGAAATTCTGTTCCACCCAATAAAATTTTTGTTGTTAAAGCCATCAGTACATTTTTTTTGTGTGCTTTAAAGATATTTAAATGATAGTACTTAAGACTTAGATGGAACTGTCCCCTTCATAATCCCTCAAAAATGACAGCCTCATAGATCCTAGCAGTTTATTTCATATAAAGACCAGAAATATTGCTCATATGTCCAATAGGCAGTTTGTAAGATTTTCAACATCAGAAACTATAAGTAACTGCCTAAGACTACAAAACTTCACACTGGGTTGCTATTTTAACCTTTTTCTGTTTCATTTTTGCACTGATCATGTAGATCCTTAAATATATTCTATTTATTAGATTAAAAAAATATGGCAATATTGGTCATGAGTATTGTTTGTCTTTCAACAGACAAGGCTACCAGTCCTCTAAACAGGGAGGTTGAAGTAGACTTTATGAATGGGTTCTGTGACCAGGTGAACCAGGAACTAGATGGTCCCATGACCGCTGTGAGGCTGTTGGCACATAAAATACAGTCTCCACAAGAAAGAGAAGCTCTCTATGCTCTGACAGTAAGTTACTGACATTTTCCATGAAAAACATTGCTTTCATATAGCTATGTTACCTCTTACTTGGTAGAGTATTGTATAGTTTCTATGTTGGCACAAAGTTCACTTTGCTGATATTTTCCTCATCAAATTTAGTTATAATTTCATGGAGAGGAAATTCATTAATGTTTAGTTTCTTTTCCAAGTAGAAAGGTTTCCAGCTTTTGCCAGAGCAAATGTTTTGATCCATCTAGTGGGTCATGTCACAGAAGAGAAAAAAAAAGTAATACTGGACTAATGTTGTAATGCAGCAATGATCCAACATTGTGCCAGGCACCACTGAGCTTCAACAGGGAAATGAGTGCCAATGGCCTGATGGGCAGACCAAGTGACAGGTCAGAGGGCTGGGTATATGCTCGAGGGCCTGTTTCCAGATATGGGAGAGATTAAATCTCGGTTCTAGTGTCCTATATTTCATATATGGGTCAGGAGCCTAAGGAGATACCTAGCCAACTGACCTGTCATGTGCCCAGCCCCTCAGGCCACTAACACTTGTACATCATATGGTCACTATTAGATTTAATTATTTTCTCTTCTGTGATTTTGGCAATATTCTTTTATTTCTTTTAGTATGAGCTCAGGCAGTGATTAATTTTTTTATATGTCAACATCTTAAGTTATGAATATTGCAATTTTTGTTACATTAACAAGTGTCTTTTATTTGCTCAACATTTCAGGTTTTAGAAGCATGTGTAAAAAATTGTGGCAAGAGGTTTCACCAAGAAATTGGGAAGTTCAGATTTTTGAATGAATTGATTAAAGTTGTTTCTCCAAAGGTGAGCATTAAATTTGAATCTTTTTATATCATGTCAGAAAAATAAAAGTTCTCTTATAAATTTGGCTTTGCCTCCTTTAAAAATAAGATTTAAATGTAGCAGATAATTACTCATTTGTGCCCTTGTAGGACCATCTATTTATAATTTATTTATTGACATGGCTGTATGCTGAATCTAAAAGTATGCACTGTTAAGAAATGTTTTCTTTTTATGCAGTATTTAGGTACAAAGACGACGGATAAAGTCAAAACAAAATGTATTGAATTAATATACAGCTGGACAGTTGGACTGCGACATGAAGCAAAAATATCAGAAGCATACGAGATGTTAAAAAGACAGGGGATTGTGAAAGAAGATCCTGTATATATTGACAAGGAGGTATGTTTGAAAGGTTTTGATTGAATGATGAGTGCAGTTCAATAGTATTTACTGTATGTAATTGATGGAAAAAGCACTGGTTTGTACTGATGAAAATCAATTAGATCAAAGTTTGATACATGTTGCTTCAGTTGCTAATATTACAAATCTTTTTTATCCCTTTTTTTTTAATTGTTATTTTCAAGATTAATGCCTATTTAAGATGTTTTATGTTATTTTGTATATCAACTACTTTTGAATTTTTGTCTGTGATTTCATTACTCACCAAAATTGGTTTCTTTTGCCTTTCTCTCGACTGTAGGCCATTTACACAATTGTGATTAGAGCTCAATATTTTATTAGTACCACCAGCGTGTACGCTGGCGGTACTCATGGTTTTAGTCTCGACCCGTCTCGTACGGCTCGGTAAGCTCCGCCAGCTCCGTGAGCTNGCTTACTCCAGCTGGTGGTACAATATCCGGAGGCGGTATCGCCTCTCTGATCCTCTAGTTTTATGTGACTTGAGATTTAGAGCATTGGCATTAATTGACATATATGACTTACTTTGTTTATCTTGATGCATTTGTCTCTTTGACAAATACATTGGCTGTGATACATGAAATGTCTATTTAATGTAGATGAAAAAATGTGATTTGTACTTTTTTGTTGTGAAATGGGTATTATTGCATGAGGTTTTATTTTTCTTTAATTTTTATATATCATTCATATTTATGCAATGTTAAAAATACTTAACACATTGGTATACATGAAAATAAAACTGACATTGTTGATATACATTTTGCAATCAACTTGAAAATGGAAAACCATTTATGACATGTATTTCAGTAGTGATTTTATTCAATTTAGGATATTCCTGTTCCACCACCAAGACCACATAATAGCATATTTGATGATGAGGAAAAGTCTAAGGTAAGATTTCTGTGGCATTTTTTAAGCTTAATTTTTATCTCCTTTTTCTATTCCATGCAAAAAATAAGGGTCTATCATCAGCTGTCCATTTGAACCACACGATAGGACAAAATTATTATCATTTATTATATTCCGATTTTTTGAACTAAAGCAATTTTGAAGACTTACGGATAAATGGTGGGAACTTTTTATTAAGCTTTTTGTTTTGTTAATTCTTTAAAAATGTCACATACTTACCAGGTTGTCTTGTCCCTGAGTTGTGCACCTGGATTCTATAAACCCTTTGTTCTCGTCAAGCCAAATAACAAAAATGACATTTGTTTGTGTTTAGCTGTTATCTAGGCTGCTGTCAAGTAAACATCCCGAGGATCTCCAGGCTGCTAACAGACTCATAAAAAACATGGTAAAACAGGTGAGGTTTTTGAAAGAAATGGAACACTGCAAATATATATTGTATGCCAGATTATATTTATGTAATTTAATCAGTACATCTTTAAATGATTGTGCATTTTGTTTGTGCTGAAAAATTGAGAAGATGAGAATTAAGTGTAAATTGAGATGATATTTCATTTTTGGTGATTTTTCGTTTAATATTCATTTATCAATTTTTACAGGATGCTGAAAAAACAGAAAAGAAGGCCAGGAGACATACAGAATTAGAAACTGTAAACAATAATGTAAAACTCCTGGGAGATATGTTATCACATTATAAACCAGGAGAGGGAACCGCATCAGATATAGAAATAATGAAGGTAATACAAATAATTATCTGTAATAAAAACAAAATAAAACAATACAGAAATGAAAAAAAAAGATAGAGTTTGTTAATTCATCATTATTTTGATAAGGGATTACTTGCTTTTTTTAAATATTCTGTTCTTATGTCCATCTGACCGCCAGATATTTTAGTGCTATTCCTGAATAATTCATCATTATTTTGATAAGGGATTACTTGCTTTTTTTAAATATTCTGTTCTTATGTCCATCTGACTGCCAGATATTTTAGTGCTATTCCTGAATACCTAATTACAAATGACTGAATTTGAGTATTAAGAATAAGATTGGTAATAAGACAAAAGTGTGTTTGATTTTGCTTTGTTCTATAGAATAGATTGCATATCTACTACTTATTTCAGCAATTGTATGAAACACTCGACAAACATCGGCCAAATCTTTTCCGTCTTGCAAGTGACGCAGATGAAAAAGACGATGAAGGCATCAGTAAGTCATAGATTAACTATTCAGTCAATTTTGAACAGCAGATTAAGACTGACTAAGTAAGCTCTTGAAGGCACTTTGTCATCTCTCTTACTGTTGTAGTAACATCATTAATAAATGTCAGTTATTGTATATTTAGCAGATTGTATTGTAGGGATGTGATGTAAAAATTGTAAAAAGTGTCAAATGCTACTTTTTTCAGTAAACTAGTTAGTGGAAAATTATTCAAGCTTTGGTGTAAGTTCTTCTACTTATTCACTAGAGTTGTCTAATTCCAGGTGCCATTTTAAAAGCTAATGATGAAGTTGGTCGTGTAATGGGCCAGTATCGTAGATTGGTAGATGGAACGACCCAGGAAAATGGGGTGGCTGCAGCAGGAGATAAAGGTAAAACTGTTTATAGCACAGTCGCTGGGCGTAATAACCATTAGTCATGTTTGAGTGTTGGATGATCTACTTTTCACAGTTTGAAATGAATGTTCTCTTGCTTATTTTGTGTTATCTACTACCATCTTTGAGTATACTTAGTATATTTTAGTATTATAATTTTAAAATATATTTGTGCAATTCATTTGTAATGCTGCTGGATATATACTTCTTGTCGCCAAAAGGAAGGAGAGGTAAAATTTTTTAACTTTTACTATGTTTTGTCATCTAATAAAGTAATCAAGCATTTAAATACAAAAATAATAGCTAATATGTGAGAGTTTTATTTGCAACATTACAAGATGTTAGACATTTGCACCCAATTTGTTAGAAAATCTGTTATGGTACATTGGTCTCCTTTTTTTCATTAATTTTCTTTTCTGACCAGAAATTTCGTGCCAAATAATGTTCATGTTTAATGCTGTTATGTTATTCTAGGCAACAGTTCTGATCTATTGGATCTGAACTTTGACACCCCTATGCTGGGGGACACCAGTTCCTCTGCACTGCCTGCTTCAGCACCTGCCTCTGGAGCCTCAACCTTAGATGAAGATTTAGCTTCCTTAGGTAAACTAACCTGTGTATCTTACCAGAATCAGACATGAGCTTTTTCTGCAGAAACACAGAATTCTGCATTTTTCAGTTCAATTCTAAGGCAGCCCCCGGACCCCCAGGTGGTTGGGTGTTGGGTCTCATGATAAATGTTCAGAGGTTTTTTTAAAACCTAGGCTCATGTCTGCAGAATGAATTGATTTGATAAGCTGGTAGATCAATCAAATAATTGTTATTGTCAATTTCTTATAAATATAAACAAGTGTAATGTGTAGTGCATCTGTTTAATAATATTGCCACCAACAGGAAGATGCATCTACAGTTATTGGATTAGTTCATTTAAATAACTGTGCTTGAAGCTGATTATTTTTTAAGGTGGATCAAAGCTCTTCCATGTCATAAGTGTAATATGTTAAATTGGGGAAACTTTTAGTTTGATATACAGTGTTATGTGTGCTCTGGCTTGTGCCCATAGGTCATTGATGTTTACAAATATTGATGATTGTGAAATTGAATAATTTTAATTTAATTTATTTAAGGTATAAGTGCTAGTTCAAACAGTGCTACCCAAGCCTCAGGTGCTGGTTCCCAAGACCTTGGTATTAGTTCCAGTGGAGATTTAAATCAGTTTGGAGACTTCTTCAAACCTTCATTAGTTACAGGCAGTGTATGTGCATGCTTAACTCTATATAACAGAATTTGTATTCTTGTACAAATTGAAAATTCCTAATATCAATCCTCATGCTAAATTACTTGATCATACTGTCATTACTTATTACATTCATATCATATGTTGTAGCTTCAATATGAGTTGTTCATTATGTCATTATCTTCATGATATATATATGATAAGCTTATTTGATGAAATAATTTAGATTAGAATAATAAGTGCAAGAATAAAGTAAACATGACAACTTCATATGCCTGTATTTACATACATTTATTTTTCAGACAACAGCTTTTTCAACCAATCCTTCATCAGCGTTTGCAAACTTCAATCAACAACCACAGATGATTCCTCCCCCAAGGATGCAGCAACAGGGAAATGCCAGTTCAAGTTTCATGCAAGGTGAAGTTGGTTTCAGGTCTATGGCCTTAATGAATGAAACATTCCCCCAATGTGCTTAAAAACTGTAGAGTTCAAGGACAATTTTTGAAAGAACTAAAATTTTTTGTTTCAAAAAAGTTTTTATAACTGATTTGACTGGCTTTGTATCTTTACAATGTACTACATATTTTACTATCTTAATATTTAAGCCATTTATTTTTACTGACTCCATTCATCTTATTCTGTTCGCTTTAACCCTGTAAAGTCTACTGAGCGTTTTAAATGATTTTATACTACAAATAAATAGAATGATAATTATTATTATTGTATTATTTCAGTTTTTTTAAATTCATAAGTCTTCCATATGCAGTATCCATTTTGTTTTACTAAAAATCAGTCATTTTGTTATTTATATCAAACAACACTGTTTAGCTAGATAGGAAAATATGTATCTTGGGTTGGAATAACTCCTGGCCCCAGTTTCACAAAAAAAAAAAAAAAACTTAAGTCAGTTCCCTGGCTTAGTTGGCTAGGATTTCCATAAAAGTGCTGTTACTCTGCTCCTTATAGGGTAAGACATGCTCTTGTGACCATGTAACCTTGGCGATTAAGTTCTTAGCCAGGGAACCCGAGTTAAGTTTTATTGTAAAACTGGGGCCTGCTATTCATCACTGCAGGTAGTATACCCTCAGCCAACATGAACAGGCCATACCCTATCCAGACAGCTGGGGCCCCCATCATGGCTTCTTCTGTTGCTCCTACTGCACACACAGAAAATGCTGCTCCACAGCTTTCTCAACAGAAAGCAATGGCAGATTTGGATGAGCTGGGAAAAACTGTTCTTCAAAAGCACAAAGCTGATACCAATGTTAAAACTTTTATTCCACCTCCTAGGTAGGTTGATTTCAGCAAAGAAAATGTATGTTGTAGTCCTTCAGCTTGGTTTTTGGGGTTGATGACCCTATATTTTGTGATCATAATTTTTACTTATTGATTAAATGATGACACTAGTGAAAGTACTTATCAAAAATTGATGAAATATTCTTATTTTGTATATCTAAATTGCCATTTTTTATGGATACAGGGGTTGTGATTAAGTCATGCACAGCAGAAAACATACATTAAAACACGATTAATATTGAAGAGGGATGACCAGACAAAAGGTTCCCTGACCTTCTGCTTCACTCTATCTCACTGTTGATACATCATTTCAGCCAACCGGTCAAAGTTCCCTTAAACCAGATGCAAAAGTCCGGTGCAGGTGCACCCCTGGTCTCTCCTTCCTCACCAGGAGGACAGGCAAGTCCAGCAAAAAGGACAGATACATCAGTTCAACCCTTGACAGATGTGTTTGTACCTTTAGAGTCTATACAACCAGGTAGGTTTTTATGTACAGACACATTGTGTCTGTATGTATAGCCATCACTTGCATCTGTCATTGTCATTGTCATTGTTGCCGTTGTCGTGGTCATGCACTTTCAGAGATAAGTTGAAAACACTTTTACCTTTTGTCTTCAAATTTATGGAACTGATGAGTATTCATAAAACACAGGTCCAGTTGGAAAATCAGCTTGATCTCATACAATCCTATGTTTTATCATGTCTTTAAGAACACAGGCGAGATGTCACTTTTCTGTTAGTCCTTGTTTAATTTAGGATGCCAGTGAAAGTGTCAATCATTCATAAGGGCTGTAATAACCCATTATACACATATAAACTTATAGCTGTGTATTTTTAACTTGCTTTCCATGCTTGAGTGCAAAAGTTATATGTCATATAGAATTTAACTCACAGCCTTCTTTTTTTCTCTCTCTCTCTCTCTATAGGATCAACATCCCCTTTAAACGCATATGATAAAAATGGACTGAAAATAATAATTCACTTTGGGAAGGATCGGCCCAGGGCTGATGTGATGGTAATGGTGGTGTCAGTCATGAGTACCAACACTAGTGCTGTGAAGGCATTAAGTTTTCAGGCTGCAGTACCTAAAGTAAGAAAAACATCATGAATTATTGTATAGGTTATGTATTAGTATTTGGTTAATGATTTTGTTTCATATGAACAGTAGCCTTTACATTTAGTGTATTTAACTATTTATGTTATTGTACAATCCAACTATTTTAGTTGCAAATAACTTTTATTATCATAATTATTATCATTATTAAGTGTTGGCAAAATTATCTTGATCTTTTCTCTCTTATTAATAATAATTTAATTTGTGATCAGGTTTTTAAAATTACCATCGACTTTATTGTTATTTGTATCAAATGATATGCTGCTTTTAAATTAATATTTCTTGGCATGCAGAATATTGTCAAATAAAAGAATAAACAGGGCAGTCATCTTGTTCCAGACTATGAAGGTGAAACTGCAGCCTCCCTCAGCAACAGATTTACCAGCTTTCAATCCTATATTGCCTCCCTCTGCTATTACTCAAGTCATGCTGCTAGCCAATCCACACAAGGTAAAGGACAGCTTTATTGTGGATTGCCCATTAAGGTGGCATTCATAAAAGATGATCCGTGGACTAACTAGTCTGCAGATCAAATATGGCAGACCTTACTTGAAAGCATGTCAGATCTGCCATATAATCTGCTGTTATTCTCCAGGCCATCCCTTCAGGGGCCTAGTAATTAAATCTCACAGTCATTTTAATTTAGCTTTAATCGCTAAACCCCTGCAGGGATGGTAGGTGGTAGGTGGGGAGCCCATAAGGAGATTATCTGGCATTGCTTTCAAGTGGGGTTAGCCATATTTGATCTGCAGACTATTTAGTTAGGATCATCTATTGTGAATGCAGGCCTAAGTTGTATTTGCACAGCGTTAACCAGTAGAATAATTATTTCAAAAGTTGAAAAAGAAAACCATGAAATCTGAATCAGATTACTGCTAAGAAATCTTCTAATATGCTCTCTTCGTGAAAATTAGTGTCACATAAATCTTTGATTATTCTGGCACTTATTAAAATTGGTAAATGTTCAAAACTATACTAAAAACAGTCTTAGCATTTCAGCTTTACTTCATCACTTTGTTCTTTTTTATTGAGGGTATAAGTGATGGTTGTATTGAATATATCTAATAAAGTGCCTACTTCATAATTCCTTTCAGGAAAAGATAAGAGTAAAATTCAAGCTGACCTTTACCATGAATGACACTCCTGTGACAGATGTGGGGGAAATTTCTAATTTCCCTGAAGAAAGCCTCTTGTGATGCCAGTTTAGCACTATACCAAAGCATACAGAGAAAAATATGCTTTTCACTGAAAGACCTTGGGCAATTTTAAAAATTGCATTCACTGACTTTGACTTCAATGACATCAGTGAAAGGTACAGCCTTATCTACATAGACCAGTTGATTGCAAAAATAACCACCAATATCCCTATTAAGCAAAAGAGGATAAAAATGGAGCCGTTATATAATTCTGCTTTATTGTTGTCCTTTTTTCAAACATTCATGATCAAATTGACCTTCATATTGTGATAATGGGTTTAGTTGATAAGTGCATTGAAATATGCGCTATTTTCAATATTGGTTTAATAAGAGAAAAAAAATCAACAATTTTCTTTAACAGGTGTGTTAATGGACTCTGGATTGGTGTGCACTCTGATGCCATGCCATATTGCTAGTCAGTTCTAGAAGCTTTAAGAATACAAACATGTACACACACTAAAATATATGTACCAATGTGACCAAGGTATCAAAATGACCACTGACATTGTAAATATGAAGCAAAATGCAAGGTCTAATAATCTGTTTACATATATTTACTTTCATATACAGACTATCAAAAAATAATGGGTTTAAAGATCTGTTAACTGTATATTTACACCATGTTTTGCTGACCAATGGAGAAATATGCTTGAAAAAGTCATCCTAATTGTGTTGACATAGGACCAGAATAGAAACACACATCTAGGTGCTTGGGGGAACTGAGTGAATCCTAGGTTCAGCAACACCAGGATTGATGCTTATAGAGACAGTGTTTCTGGAAAGAACCTCCTTTTTGAGTGTAGAAAAGTTGCTTTAACCATGGAGGAAGGGGGGTAAAAATTACGATTAATAAGTGCAATGAATGTTTTTTGTACTGTAGATGGCAATTTCAGGTGTTTAAAACGACTGTATATATGTTCAAATCACTTGCAATGGGTGTGCCTTAAAGATACAAAATGGTTGTATTTGAGTATGCCATAATAGAGTAGTAAGTTTATTCAAGAAGGTAAGGTTGCACTACTGTTATTTATGTGAGATGCAGAACACAAAAATGGGCTGGGCCTTTGATCAATTGGATAATAAATGTGGGAGGGTATGTATATGTATTAAATATTTTATTTTATAAGTCTTACAATAAGTTTCAATGTTGATTTCACATCTCGCAGCAACATGTAAACATTGGTGTCTGGAGATTATGTATTCAAATAAATGATTACTTGAACCATAATAGTTGACTCAATGTCCAAGACGATATATTATTTCCTAGTTTGATCATAATACAGAGATAAGAGTGCCATTTAGTGAAAAAGTCAGAAAATATGGAGTGAGGTTTTAACTATTTAGAAATAGTTAAAAGGCCAATGATGTTTTTGGCTCCCCAAAAGTCAGAAATCCACTGATAGTAAGAAAAATCTTATCCCTGATAATACTGTCTCAAATACATTACTATTAAAATAATCAAAATTAAGAAGTGCCCTGCAAAGTGCTTTCATGAATAATGTTATTAGCCATGTTGACTAACCAACTTATCCTACAAATGCTGCAAGCTCTCACGCAATAAAATAGTAAAAATGACTGAATATTGCACATGGGGTTTTCAACAATTGAACCACTATTTTCTACAATACTTGTCCCACTTTCTTTTGGCCATGTCTGTCAAAATAAGTTTCAGAATCAGTTGGTTATGATGATATTTTTCTTTCTTTGATGTTCACATTCTGCATAAAACCACTGGATGATCATTTAACATTTGCATAGTCCCACTGGATAAAACACTTGAACCAATTCATTTGAATGTTCATAATATGTTTTGCAAAATCCCATTGGAAGCCCTTAATAGGACAGGAAGGGAAGTGTTTTCTGTGTGCCATCTGAAATTAAAAAAGATGCAATGACCCTGGGCTTCACAGCACTAGTACAGAAGGAATTACAAAATCACTGACAATAAATGGACTCTTTAACTACATGCACAGATAACAGCACTTTACTCGCTTGCTCTCTCTCTCTCTCACACACACACACACACACACACACACACACAGTCGATTTTAAGCTCATCTACATAAAAAAATTATTTCAATTTTACTTCATTAAGTTAATCTCATACTCACCTGCCAGTTTCAAGCTCTGCAGAGGGGCTAAGAATCACAGGCGCAACACTGCAAAAAATGTGAGTGTAGTTTAAATAGCTTTTTAAAAAAGGTATACAAATTATTTGGAAAATGAAAATTGCCTTTTGTTTCTTTTAACAAAGATCTCTATTGTTTATACATCCTCAATTCTAAAAAATCAAATCTTTCTTGAAATATATTAATAATTTGAAATCCTCATCTTAAATGTACCCAAGCACAGGTAATGATGTACACATTTCCCTGTTTAAAACATCAGTGAAGCAACTTTCAATAATTTTATTTTACCATGACACTCATAATTCTCATAAGAATGTGAAACAATAAAGCAGGACTTCAAAACTGAGGCAATAATAGTTTCTCACACATTCAGTGATAAAAATTGGCAAATTGATTAACTACTCCACAGTCATAACATAAATAGGTAAAAAACTTTTTTCAAACTTTCACTGAAATTCTTAATCAAATTCCCAAAAAATTATTTGTTAGCTCCGGCCTGGTGCTCTTTCTTACTTGGGGAGTTTTAACAGATTAATCAGCTCACTAGCCCTGGCCAGCAGGACTTGTTTACTTTCCTCCTCCAAATTTCCATCCCTGTGCTGCTGACCCACTTTTGTCAAACACAGCAAGACTCTAGGAATTAGGTCCTGGCACCTTGAAGCAAGCTGGAAAGTAGGACTTGTTTTTGTATTGTTAAATGATATGATTTATATGTTGTTCATAAAATACCTACAAAAGAACTTGGGCACAGTCAAAAGGTTGCAAAAATAAAGATCTTATACTTTAAAACAGAACATAAATGCCATAACAGAGCATAGATAACTAGCTTCACTTTAATTTCTACTTTTAAAATTAAACTTTACTTTTATCTCTAGTTTTATAATTAAACTTTGATCACTACCTTTATTCAGCTAATACTTTTACTTTTATAAGGCTGTCTAAAGCAACTATAATACATACATATTTCAGTGAATTGAGGCATTTAATAAACAATTTATCTATCTAACCACTAGTTCAAATAGTATAATAACACACATTACCTTGGCAACAGCTGACATCATCACAGTTAACAGTCTGACAGAATACGGTGCCTCGTTTTCAGAGGCAACAGCGCTCATCAGTCCAGAGAGCTCATAGAGAAGAGTTTCTAAAGTCTCGTAGGTCTTGGATACCAACTCTGGAGTGCACCTGGGATCATATGTTGCAGAGGTATATTCACCAACAACCCAAACCTGACTCATTCATAAGAAAAGAAGAAAATAAATAAAACTTAATACATTTAATAAATATAAATCAATTTCTGAAACTTCTGAAAAAAAATGCTTGCCATAAAAAAGTCAGAGAATTCCCATATTTATTATCAAAAAAAAAAAAAATCAATTTGATATTAAAAGTATGACAAATATACTTAACTCCATTAAATATTAATTATGGCACTAAAAATGATCAATTATTGAAATAACCATGTCCATTTTTTTATACAAACCTAACTATGAGAATGTATCTGTTATCTATTTACAAGGAGCAATGTCCTTATTCATTTTAATAGTTGTGATATTTGAGATCATACCAAGTGAATAAAAAAGTCCTCTTTGTCTGTGATATTTCTGATTTGTCCAACGTATTCCAGGATTTCTGGGTGCTGTTCTAGTACAAGTTGCGGGTGTTTTTTCACCAAGGCTTGAAGCTGTTCAGCAAAAATCCTAAAAAATAATTTTAATTGGCATTAAAGGTAACAATAACCAAATACTGTTTTTTATGAAAAAACAGTCAGGATATATCATAAATGTAGAGCAGTATACACACACTTTCAGATTAACCTGTAAATTTAATCAACATTTAATAATGTTCATCACATATACTGTTGCACTGTACACAATGATACTAGTCATCAAATAACACTGACAATTCTGTAGTATTCTCTTGACATTTGGTTTAAATGACCCTCAAAGTAGACTAATTCCCAAAACTGAAATATTCATTAATGCACATATTTTACCCACTTTTTGATATCATTCCGATACTGGTCTATGCCATACAGGACCCCTACCCTCTCCAACAATACTGGAAGTAGTTGACTACACAGTTCAAAATCACCAAGGCTCAACACAGTCTTGAAGTAAACTCTGAAACAGTAAAATCTAGCACTAAGACGAACCAAACCTTTTTATACTTATCATGTTAGAAAGCTGGGTTTTGTGTTAGACTTTTTGTGTAATATCTAGTGAAATTCAGGATATAAAATCAGAGATGTTTCAAGATGAGTCTGTCAAAATAACCACTGAAGTATATTGAATGTCATGATAATACACTTGTCTGATAATCATTTGAAATACTCCTGTAAGAGAATAAACGCTTGCACATAACTTACTTAATTCAAAATCATAAAGGTCAATTTAAATGTTCTATTGTTAAATAAAAATTAAAAGATATATATAAATTAATGTAAAAAAGTTTTTTTCTTACTTGAGGAGTACTGGGACCACTTGTAGACATACCAACACTCTGGGAGACTGCATCATGTCTTTCAGTACTGCATGTAAGTCACCAAGCCTGAATTAAACATCAAACTTTCATGAAACATTTCCATTTGTTTCTAACAGGAAAGGTCTTATATCATTTCTCCATTGGATCAATGAAAACTGTATCAAATACAAGTTGCAATGATTGTTGTGCCACTCCATAATAGCAAAATAATTAAATCAATAAATCTACCCAGAAGATGCCCCTGAGGAACAATCTTAAGCAATAGATAATAATACAGGTGTCTGAAAAAATACCATTTAGAAAAACATGATAAAGATAAAATGGGTTTTAATATCTTTCTATTCAAGATCTACATAAGACCAAGTAATCAAGACATACTTGCTTATTGTGTCCCCATGTCCACTCTCATTTCTCAGAATAAAACTGAAATATGGTTTATATTGCAGACTGTTTTTCACTTCCTTCAGCCTCTCTAAAGCAACAGATGGCATTTCCATGGACTCTCTGTCTCTAGCTTCCATCTTCCCACTACTCTCTAT